ACACATTCGCATTCAGGAAGGTCATGCCGGGGAAAATCACCTACTCAATACGATTCGCCGTCGGTTTTGGATAGTGAAAGGGAGGGCTACGGTGAAGCGCATCGTGAGCAACTGCCTCTTTTGTCGGCGCCAGAGGGCTGCATTTAGCAAACAACTGACGGCTTCGTTACCAAGTTCCCGAGTACGACCAGGTTTGTGGCCCTTCGCCGAAACTGAGTGGACTACTTCGGGCCGCTTTGGGTGAGACGAAAGACGTTGACGGAGAACCGGTGCGGATGCCTGATGACCTGCCTACAGTCACGAGCTTTGTACATAGAGACCGTGCACAGCATGTCGACCGACTCCTTTCTTATGGCCTGTCAGAGATATGGGTAGACGAGGTAATCCGTCGAATGTGTTCTCCGACAACTGATCCAATTTCGTCGGTGCAAAAAAGGAGTTGAGCAACTGGTTGGCGCAGTCAGACAAATGCGCCCTGTAAGACCGGCTGTCACCATCTGGAACCCAAAGGCACTTCAACCCACCCTATAGCAGTCACCGCGGGGGAGTTTGGGAACGGCTCATACGGTCGGTGCGAGAAATATTGAAGGCAATATGTGAACAACAGGACGATGAAACTTTGAGTACATTTCTGGTAGAGGCGGAAAGGATACTCAACAACCGACCGCTTTTACCCGTCACCAGTGATGACCTGTAAGGACTGGCGCTAACTCCGAGTGACCTGCTATTGTGGTCCAATGATCGTCCAGATATGCCAAAAACTATTAGTGGTTGCTATACCTCGGGTTGGAAGCATGCGAACTACCTGGCAGCGTTGGACAAGAGAGTACCTGCCAACCCTTCAAGCTCGATAGAAGTTTTTGCATAGAGAACAGTCGCTGAAGGTTGAAGATGTTGTTCTTATGGCCGACGAAAAGCTGCTACGTGACAACTGGCCACTAGGTGTAGTCATAGAAAGCCACACGGACTCAGACGGACTAATAAGAACAGTGAAATTGGGAACATCTGCCGGTGAACAGGTGCGCGATATTCGACGAGTGTGTTTGTTGGAGGGAGATGACCACCATGCAGTTAGTTGATGAAGTTGTGGAGACCCGTCGTGTATTATACTGACTTTCCTGTTCCTTGTACCAATTGCGCCCCAGTGATATTCACCCCACCTGTATAAACACGTTGATCCACGTCCTTACCATACGTTCTCTCCATTTCATTTCGTGACTGAGTGTCCTTTTATCAGATTGATACGCAATTGATGACATAAACCTCGAAGGTGTGCCCCATGTCCTCAAAACATTCATCCATTTACATACACACAATCACCTGCATACTGAACATGATTTCATTTGTAAAACTTGAACAGTAATTGGATTGCCCACATTTCCCCCTCCTTGTTTACACACCGAGACTTTATCTGTAATGATATTCATTTTACCCACTGCTATAAAGTTATCGTGCGACTGGCTGCAAGCGTGCCGATACAGAAGGCAGATCTCGACGAAGNGTCTCAGGTCAAGATCAAAGAGTGCGGCGAAGGCTGAACAGTTCGTAGGTAGAAGCACTGAGAGCAGGGGTTAGGTAGGTAGATAGGTAGACAAGAATCAATTACCTGCGCCAACCCTTTGACTCAGACGAGCGCAGGGAGTATTTTGGCACCCGGTGTATTTCATGTTGATTTTTGAAAATCCTTCCAAACCCATGATGACTTATGGTGACACAACTCTATCTGTGTGTTGCTTCTGTATTGACATATCTCAATCACAAACACCATACATTATTCTTTATCTGTTAATTTGATGCCCGGCATATTTGAATTTGGCGTGGTCAGAGAACGTGAGCGACTGTTCGGCTCTCTCTTGACATCATATTTCGCTCGCTTGCTTGAGTGCTTTCGGCCGCACATTTGAGGTTTGCTTTACTGTAAATTTTTCATTGATTTCTCTAATTCAGTACCGTAGAATATTAGGGATCAATCATGTTTTATTTCGGGATTCGGATCGGTTTCGGCTACGCGTCACTCAAGTCCGAATTGGTTGACTTACACAGAGCAGGTGGTGTCGTAGCTTATTTTAATTGCACTCTACCTCCTCCCTTTCTTATTCCGTCGGCCAAATACACCCAATTAATACTTTATGGGTTGCTTTTTATTGTTTCCCTCCACAGATGTTCGGTTATCTTACAGTCGATGTGTCAGCAACCATAGTCGAAATGGAAAAATTGTACTTTTCAAACGCGCTCGGTCAAATGAAGAAACCATATACGTTTTACTTTATAAGCATTTTGCGAGTGACCTGGGGTAATACCAGGCACATTCCCGTGCATGAGGATCAAAACGTTTGGCAATGAGATAAATAGATTTGGGAAAAGTCATGATGTTGCACGAGTTTGGTTAATACCTATACATACAGAGCTGTATGTAGATATATATCCATACAGGTGTATACCACCCCGTATTTTCCACTTTGCCCACTGTTTTGTAACATGCTATTTCCCTCCTCATCCCTTCTCAGCTGGGTATTACTTCAGACTGTTTAGTATAACTTTTTTGTTCCAGATACGGTTTGCTTGGGCCTGTCGAGGGTTTGGGGTCTACACCCACAATGGACAATTGGGCCCCGGCAATGGTTGTTGGGCACGGCTGTTTCCAGCGTTTTGATTGCATTTGTCCGCATCCCGGACCAGGTTGAGGATCACACCCTTTGCCTCACCTACAAGGTGTTTTAAGGTTGGGTGTCTAGCGTGTAGTCAGTCCCACATCAAAGTGACCAAAGCCTAAATAATCTAAATCAATCCAAGACCGATCGTAGCCCTGAACCAAATAAATACGCTTTCAGAAGCAAGCTGTGTTGCAGCATAGTGAGGAACATGTATTTTGACAAACGTATGAACTCCCTGTACTCCTCCATATTCTTATCCGCGTGACTCCATTGTCATACAGTCTCTCTCTCTGTATCTTCTCTCATTGGCGCCGCACGCCAAGTCCCCTCGATAACGGGTTAGCAGTTACTTCAATTTCGATTGATATACTTATACAGCACATTCCTCCATCATCCACATCTACCTTTGTGACCTCGTCCACTTTGTGTTCCGTTCTCACAGCGTTTTTTTCTGCTCCCTTACCATCTCCATTATGTACGTCTTCCAAGTAGACTATCCTTATATTTGTACTGTCGTTGTACATATGATTATTTTGAACACATGATCATGCCTTGTGCCTGCTTCACGGGCTTCGTGAAATATACATTATTATACATATATATGAAGAGGAAAAATGGACTGGGTGTATCAGTGGGATTGACATGACAGGACGAAATTCTGTAAGGTAAATTGGGTACATACACGAAAGGCGCACAAAGGATTTCGAGTTAGGATTACTGAGTCACAATACGTGTATAAATATGTAGCGGAATTAGTTCTGTTAAACGAATCCAGCTTGGAAGCTGAATTCGTGTACTGATAAGAATTGGGTTTAAAAAGTGGACACAGCTAGCTGGTTAGCATGTGCCACGGAGTTGAGCCAAGTGAGTCGAATGAAAAAGTTATGAGAAGCATTTGGATTACTGATCTAATTATGTTTCTCGACGAGACTGCACGTCAATTAGATCAGGGTAGGGCAAAGGAGATATGTTTCTTAGACTTCAGCAAGGCTTTTGACTCGGTGAGTCTTACGTTGCTGGACACGAAGCTACTAATGTTTGGAATAGTCGGGTCAGCGCGTCAGCGGTTCAAGTATTTCCTTAACAACCGTTGCTTTACTGTATGGGTTGGCAGCTACACTTCGCGATCAAAGAGGTTTACAAGCGGGGTGCCCCAAGGCTCCGTTCTTGGGCCCCGTCTTTTCCTTTTTTCATCCACGATCTCACGCTACAATTGCACAACCCCTGCTTCATCTTTGCAGACGATATGAAGATAGCGGGTGAGAACCTAACCCAGGACCTAGATGCAGTTCGCAGCTGGTTGGCTCGCCAAGTGTCAGCTACTGACGAACAATGTAGACTCAAACGGGAACGCAGCGCTACGTGGCACGACGGAGGTAAAGGACCTAGTAATAATTGTCACAAAGGACTTCCGGCCTACAAGACAATGTCAGGTGGCAGCAAATAAAGCAAGAGGAGTACTCTTCAGGCTGCGGACCACAGTTACATGCAGGAAGCTAGAGGTGTTCGTTCCGTTGTATAAGGCAATGGTGCGTCCACTGCTGGAATACTGCGTGCAAGCTTGGACCCCATACTATTGCAGAGATATGGAGTGTTTAGAGAGGGTACAACGACTGACAACCAGAATGGTCACTGGACAGATAGGGAAGAGCTACTCGCAGCGTCTGAAGGACCTGAATCTTTTCTCGCTGTCATGCCGAAGGTCCAGGGGCGGCTTGATAGAAGCATTCAAGATAGTTAATGGTTTGTCGGGCATAGAACTAAGCAGCCTCTTTTTTCCTGCTCCAGAGTGCAGCACAGCAGGTCATAGAGTCAAGCTGCAAAGAAATCACTCCAGGTTGGAGTTGAGGATCATGTTCTTCACAAACCGTGTGGTTCTGTAGTGACCATGATTGTACGAAGAAAAGGAGCAATCCTGAAGTACATCGTCCGTTCACATTTTCTTCCTAACCAACTCTGGCTCCAGCTGTGATATTTCGTTGTTTTACTTCTGCTTGTTTTACTGAGCACGGTTTTTCGCTCAGATGTATATATAAGCTGGGTTCTGTTCAAACCTATGCAACACGTGTGACACGCTTTCGCTCTGCTGCTGTATTTCTTGCTTCCATCGATTAGCGTCACCTCGGAACGTTTCGGTAATATCTAGTACCACGATTCGCCAATAAACGTCTACGACTCTCACGAGTGTTTTTGTCTACCTCGGGCAACGAGACACTGAGAGGTCGCGCGCACTTTGCGACTCGTAAGAAGAATTCCCGGGAGGCTGTCAACGCCGGTTAGATTCATTGGTGAGCCCGCACCGTCTTTTTTGTAATCCAACTCCAATTTGGTTTGCACTTTTTCCTCATGGTTCTCTTTCATTTGCACGATATAATTATTTATCGAATTTGCACGATGGCCGAGGAACGTCCACCAGTATGCGATACGGATTTGGACCTATTGGCTATTAGTTTTAAACCAGTAGCTTTTGTGAAAATCCAGACTTCCGTGACCGCAATCCATGCACAACTAGGTACAGTTTCATGTCATCCAATCACCGTTCACGAAGCTCGACCAATGGTACACCGGGCGAACATGACATCCGAGTTAGCACATATGATACGTCGGTGCAAATGGCTATGTGATTAGAGGATGCTCGTTCAACCATTGATATGGACTACTACATTCTATAAAACATGATCTAATTCCATCAATAAACATAAATATAAGTATTTCATTGATGTCTGCAGTTCGGGTTGGAGCCAATTCAGTTCTGAGCGGTACAGTTCGGATTCTCGTATTCCTAAATTCAATACTATTCCGATTACTACAATTTGGCGTCACGCAATGTACATTCCTGTCATTGAGCCATTGAACCTGCCCGGAAGCCCATGCCCTGCCGTGAGTTCATTCTCCAGTTGAACAAACAGGCGTCAAAATGCAACTATGGTTACCGATTGGAAGAACAAATTTGTAACCGTCTCATTGCTAGAACCAACAACAGCTCATTACAACGTAAGATGTTG